AAAAAAAAGACTGACTGTGTTTTGACATGCTGCTCCCACATCCCCACTCCGAAACCTGCAGCGGGGTTGGAGAGGGGATGCCTGTGCTCATCGTTTAACCACTTTGGTATAGGATGCTCCCAAACCAGGGTGCGATTGCCAACCGAGCTGTGTAAGTATAACAAATCCAACCAAAATTAAGCTTTGGACTTTCATTTTAAGGGGGGAAAATAAATATCATTTTCTGGTTTTTAGCCTTTTGTTTGTATTTGTTTTTAACTTTGAAAACAGTCTGTTTGTGACTCTGCCTTTACCCCTTCAATAAAGGATTTCCTGCCTCTTACCTCTTTGCATTTGTCTCTATTTGCACTTTTCTCAGGATATATTTTTTTATCTCCATCCCAAGAGCAACACTTTAAATCTCCCCTTCTCCGTAGCTTATTCAGCTATAAATAAATGGTTAATTCAGTTTTGAAATGCTAAACCAAGACGTTACATGATAGAGTAGGCAAAACCCAAGGAGCAAAAATTATTCCCCAGCAATTTTGAATCATCTCTGTTTTGCAGACTGCTTATGAGCACCTACCTCCTCTCTATACGTCCATACGTATAGATAATTCTGCTACTTACTAGGAGGACATACAGCCTAAACAGGGCTAAAACAGAGGGGTTGCTGGCTCCTTTGCTTAACTATATAATAACCATGGATAGTGGGAACTCGGTGCTGTCTCTTTAGGTGCGGTGCTGTCCTCTGAAACACAGGAGCGCTGAAATTTGGGATATGGCAACGCAGATTTTGGAGCTGTCTCATTGGAATAAGCATGGGCTCATTACAAGGTAATTTGGCTGTCTTTGCGTGGGTCAAACAGGCTCTGCTGCTAGATGTCCTACGTGAAAGCAGAGCCTGACGTTGAATAGTGGCTGTGGTTTATTATCTGTATATTGGTGATTTCCATCCACTGATGGGGCTAGAAAATGTTGCTGCTGCGGCTGGGCAGAGGCCGTCTATATTTAGCCCCGTGGGAGGGCAAGGGAAAGGGTTAACCCGTCGCCGTGGGACGTGTGACTGCGTTAATGGGCACAGCGACGCATGCCACCCTATTTATAACCAGGTGCGACATTCATTTTAGATGACTTCCCCTGGCACCCGTGCAGCCGGGTCCTGGCTTTCGGCTCATTAAGGCAGCAGCCTGCCCCAGCTTTTCCCCCACCTTTCTTTTTTGTCGTTTTGTTGCCATCGCTGGATTTGAGTTGAATAATTGGAATTTCAAACAATGCGAAAGGCTTTGGGAAATTACTGGGTAGGAAAAAGCCTTTAATGAATCATAGCAGCGTAACCATCATAATTTAACTTTTAAAAAAGAATAGTGGGATAAGAAAATAAACCTTATGGGAGCTTCTCTGTCATTGTATCCACGATGGTACCCCAGAGGCAACGGGGACTGGCAGGCAGAGATGCATTTCTGTAGTCCCATTAGGGGAAATTTTCTGGGTCAACCCACGGCTGGACCCCCCCACCCTGTGTTGCGAATAGTGCTGCTCCCCAACCAGGGGTCATGATATTTTATCGGCATATTTCCTCTCATAAGGCACTTGCAGAGGATGTAGGATGCCACGGGCGGCCTCCTCTGTGCATGAACATCACCAGGTATGTGTTGAAATGGTGGTTTTCTCCTTTGTTCCAAAACCTCCTCCCTCCAAGGGCTGGGCTCTCCTGATCTCCAGCCCCAGATATTGCTGGATAGTTGTTCCCCCGTGTCCTTGTGCTAATGCTGTTCTTTAGTTGAACAGCTTTCCTCTCTCCTTGGTTTATACCTCCCCTCCCATGTGTTCGTAGGCAAGAGTTGTACCCTCTTTCAACCTTATTTTGCTAAACTTTGCAAGCCAAGCTCCGTAGGCTCAGCTCATAAAATACCCTCCTCTGCTCCGGGCTGAATGTATTATTCCCGGACAGAAGTGACCACAGTGTCCCAGCGAGGTCACACCAGCACCTGATGCTCCAGCCACAAATCCTTCCTTATTCCTGATGGAAACATCCTTCCTGATGTGTCCTAGGACCATAATGTCCCTTTTCCGCCATTATCCTCTGCTCAGCTCATCCATCCCGGTCTTACGACCCCTCTGCTCTTCTAGATCTCTCTTTCTCCAAACAGATGCCTGTTAAATCCATCCTCAGTTGCCCAAGCAAGCGGTCTGGTTCCCAGAGCTTCTGGGCGATGGCATTTCAGAGGGGCTGTTGCAATTCAGAGCATCTTAGAAAACAGGCTCCTCTCCTAAATTGCCCGCTTCAACCTCCTCTCCTGCCGACTGGGATGCTTTAATC